GTGTTAGGGAGTAGGGGACGAGGCTTGAATCCAGCCAATCAGCGTATTTTAATTGATCAGCTGGTCAATTAAAAAACCGGGAGGGCAGTATGCGTTGATTGGCTGGATTCAAGCCTCGTCCCTTACTCCCTAACACCATCTACACAAAGGAGGGGGGGGGGGAAGGGGACATATAAGGACAACATTTACCCAAGGGAGCTCAGTATCAGAGTTCTCAGCCCTGATGATGCAAACTGCAACGTTTGCGAAACGTCGGCACATTGCTGATTCAAGACACGGCTCCTTTCCGGAAGCTATACCTAGACATTATATCGATGGCCGTGAAAGCCTCAAATCTAGTATAATCATTACTATTTATTTGTATACTATCATTTACTATTTATTTGTAATATTTCTACAATTTTATTATATTCATACATGATTAGCAACAAGAATGAAACACCTTCTTTAATATAATACCTACTTCTGTGGAACATTAATTGTGACTACAACGTAATACAGTTTTTATCGATATAAATGATCAGCATGAATGTTACTAGCAATTTCAGATTCCCATTTATCTCCATTATTCAAGAGCTTTTCTTTATTATATAACATTTCTTCATGAGTTTCAGTTGAAAATTCGAAGTTTGGGCCCTAAAACAATTTTTTTTAACATGTAAATAAATATATGTTTACATATTTGCACGTTATCTATCTATGTTTTTGTTTTTATTATTTATCTTTTTTATATATTATTGATAGAATTTGTATACCTCGACAATAGCATCAACAGGACAAGCTTCTTGACAAAAACCACAATAAATACATTTAGACATATCAATATCATATCTTGTAGTACGTCGAGATCCATCTACTCTTTCTTCTGCTTCAATTGTAATAGCTTGTGCAGGACATATTGCTTCGCATAATTTACAAGCAATACATCTTTCTTCTCCAGAAGGATATCTCACAAAAGATTTAATATTATTAGTTTGAAGTATAGAAGTATTTAAATCTCTATGTTATTCTTTTTTATAGACATTTAATATCTATGGCTTGGTTTACATCGTGCATTTGATACGCATACTAAATAGTAACTTTCTGTTAAATAATCTTAATATTGACGATATATATAAACAACGGTATATTAAGCTGGTATAATATTCATCAGCAAAACGC